AGCTAACACTTGCCAGTCTTGGTACTTCTTGGACTCCAGACGCACATAGCCGTCACCTCGTGGCAAATCCCCATCTGGAATCCACATCGCGATCGAGTCGTGTGCTGGTAGGTACACAGTTCGATCAGACACGTTGGTCAATCGAATGCTCTGAGGCCGTCCACGTCGAAACCTCGTCACTGATGGGATTAGCTTGTTCGTTCGACGAACCCACAGTACGTGTTCTTCCAGCCCGACTTGACGCTTCGCTAATCGATATTCTCGCCACTCGTGCGCTTGAATGTCCAACCGCTCGGGTGGCCCGGCGTTAACATGGGAGCCGTATTCTTCGCTGTCGATCATGTTCTTGGTCTTTATCAGCGGGATTTGGACTTCGTGCGGTAATTGCGCCGCGCCGTGGAACAGGTCCAACCGGATCCCAGCTGGGATCATAAAGTCGGTCCCGAGTACCACGTCGACGCCCGCACTATGCGCCATTACCCACATCTCAAACTCGTACACCATCTCCCATCCGAGCGTAATCTTGACGCACGCTCGTCGCGTCGTAGACACCTTGCCTTCGTTAATTCCTTGGATGTCAATGCGGCGTCCGTGATCGGGTACATCTCGGAGTCGCAACTTCTTGGCAAAGGCGTCAGTGATCACACTAACGTTCGCTCCCGTGTCGAGGAGAATCCTCGTTCGCTGGTCGTTCACAGCACCTTGCACCAGAGCTCTCATTCTGATCCGTCGGTCGAATTTCTTGGCCGACCACCACCCCTGTCTCTCGCCAGGGTTCAACTTCATCATATTGGAGTGACCCTTGGGCTCGTCTCGCGCTGCACTCGAAACCAAGCCGAACGAACCCTCGCTGGTACCCTCATCAGCATCAGCACACTCTACTCTCTCTCCAACACCTCCACCGAGGATTCTACTTCTCTCCTTTTCATTTTTCGTCGCGTTCACACTTGTTACGTAATTATCAGGCCATTCACTCTGCCCCATGAAAGCAAAGATACACTCTGCTTCCATTGAAGGCTCGGTTAACTGTGGCAGCCCGATAGGGACCAACCCAGTTGTAGTTGGCGGGCTGCCTAATTTAAAAGACGTTCTTGAACGACGGCCTTGAGCTCTGGCGGGAGCTCCTCCTTCGTGCCTTTAGTGCGCACGAATTTGGCAAGGTCTTGGAAGTTGCGGAAAAGTTCGCATTGTCCAGCATCGTGGAGCTGCTTACAGAACTTGCATCGCTTGTTACAGTAGTGGGCGGAGTGACTCATGCCACCGCACACCGCGCATGGTCCGTACTGTGGGCGTCGGTTGTCGCGGTTGAAGTCACGTCGACCGCGTTGGTCCTGATTGAACCCACGGTCACTACTTCGGCGATCTTGATTGAAGCCATTCTCGCGATCAGGCACGTTTCCACGCGGTTGACGGTTGTCTGAACGTGCGTAGGTGCCTTCAGCAGCTGCACGGCGTTCATTTTCGTTAGCAGCGGCGAGGTATCGGTCGTTTTCATCCAATGAGAAATCACCATCCGTATTATCGGGCTGAAAGTCGTTGTACTCGTCTTGGACATCGTTGTAAGCGCTCGGATCTTCGTTTGAATACTCGGTGCCTCCCTGAGCAGCTTCACGACCTTCTAATTCAGCTAGTAGGTCATTCACCGTGGCTTCAATGAGCGTCACTCTTGGTTTGTTTCGGTTGTCATCGCGGCGGCGGTCATCACGCCGGTTGTTGCGGGCGAATCCATCGTCGCGTCGCGTATCACGACTCTTGGAGTATCGGTACTCACTGTCACGCTTGGCCATCCTCTCCTTGCCCTTGAGAACATCTTCGATGATCTCTTCGAGCTCGTTAATGTCGGCGACTCGAGCGTGGTAGAGACTCTCCGCCAGCTTGTCATCATCGCATGTTGCCAGGAACTGCTGTACGTGTTCTTTCGCGTCGCGACCACTCTTCTCGAAGTGTAGACGGGCGGTCCGAGCATAGCCATTCAGCCTGTTTATGTAGTCGCACAGATGTTCATTACGTTCCCGCTTGGCGGAGTAGTAACGCGACAGTGCCGTCTGCGTGAACTGCGAGCAGTAGTAGCGGATGAACGCGTCGCTCAGCAGCTTCCACTTGCGCTTCGTCTTCTTCGGAAGTTGACGGAACCAATGAATGGCTCCGTCCCGGAGACTTAGCTCAAATGGAATGCACCATTTATCGGCATCTGTGTGGGTTCCAGTCATTTCATAGACGAACCCACGGAGCCACTGCATACCGCTCTCGCTCTTGTTGCGAGAGCCTGAGAACGGCGTGATGCGATCCAGCGGTCGGTGCGAGGCCATTTCAATCCTCGGTGTTGGGTCCACGTCGTTCAGCGTCGCTAGCTCATTCATCTGACGCATCAACTCGAGTTGAGGATCTTCCTCGTCGAATGTACGCACCAAAATGTCATCGTCACTGGACGAACCATCGCTGTCGACTTGACGACGTCCGGCACCACCTTTGGGAGCTCGCACACCGCCTCGGCGACCGAACGAACCCTCGTTACTTGCGTAAATACGTTGCATACGGCTCTCCGAACGTGGCGTAACCATGTGCGAGTCTTGAAAGTACGGTGAAGCTTCGGTAGTGCCAAAGGCACCACGCTCAGCTCCACGCTTGGTCGGAGGAGTACGAACGAGTCGTTGGGGCGTCGGCGGCAATGGAATCTTGGACGGATCTTCATCTTGAATCATCGGTCGACTCACAGGTTGCTTTCCGGCATTGATCCAACAGCGCCAAACGCCTTCCGAAGCTTCTTCTTCCATTTCTGGAGAGCCGCTCCGGCTTCATGTGAACTCCAATCCTGGAGCGACATCGTCGATGGGTACGTCTCGTTCTCGAACCCCAGCGACAACAGTAGCGAAACTGAATCCTCGGCAACTTGGCTAGTCGAAGCCGAGTTGACTGGGTATTGAAGTTCCTGCGCAAGCGCAGGCTAGTCGGCTTTTTTCTTGGGGATGGGCTTGAACAGCTGCATCCACTCATCATTCTGCATCAGCGCTTATACGCGGTCGAAAACGCGCTTGGCGGCTGGTGTATCACCGTTGATAGGTGGGCGAGGTGCCTTCAGCAGTGCTGAATGCTTTGCACTTGCCACCGAAGGTTTAGAACCCTCGGTCCCATCGTCATAATCATCGTAGGCTGGTTCTGGTCCCGCAACATCATCGAGCTCGTCGGCGAGGTTCCTCGAAAGGGACCTGGTCGCCCCGCTCAGCCCCGATGATAGCGTGGCCGTCTCCGGCGTCGCTGCGCCTGGCTCTGGAGCCGGCGTCTTGTCTTCGTAATCTTCATAATCGTGGGCGTCAGGACCGATGTCCGCTTCGTCGTCGAAGCTCACTGAAAGCTCGGTGGCGGCTGCAAAGCGCGCAGCCGGGCTTGAACTCTCGTTGCGAGCCCCGCCAGACTTGGCAGGCGTAACTGGTACCGTCGGTTGTCCTTTCGCCATGTTTCTTGTCTTTTTCTTGTTCTTCTTCTCTTGGTAGCTCGTAAACTGGAAGGCCATACAAACAGTTCACAATGGTCACAATCTGTTCCCGGGTCGCGGCACCAGTTGTGGTGTTGGAAATCCCACGTGAACTCTAGCTACAGATGTAGCTAGGATGTTCCCACAACAATACGTCTACTAGGATAGTAAACGATCGTTCGGGCGGACCTGAATACCCCAGTTCTGCCCTTGCACCGGGACAAACTGGACCTTGTAAACTACTTATATAGGCCAACCAGTAAAATAAGAACACGCTACTAGCACGAGCAAAGCTAGCAGGTGTTTTGAATCCTCGTGGTCCCAACAGCGGAAGGGTACCAGGTACGGGTAAGCCTTTTACGAGATCACCGAGTGTTCAACACTCGGCTGGAAGAAATAAAAGGGAGGCAATTCAAGCACTCCCAGTCGTGCAAATAGGCAACAATAAGCCGTCACGTAAAACCTCCCGATAATAATCGGCCAATACACAAAGTCTCTTGGACTTGCCGGATGAACCCTCGCTACAGAGCTTCGAGTTCACCGACAGGCATAACACACTCAAACAAGCTTGACCTGACGCTTACCTTGAAGCCGGACGTCGCTCTATGTGCTTGAGTGGAAATTCTATTCTGTATTTAAGCTTACCCTTTCGGGTCTATTCCTAATAAGAAGTCCTACAAATATCAAGTGAACAATGATCCGTTATGGATCTTCTTGCATGCCAAGCGTCGTCTGCACCGTCGCATGAGCATCTTTAACGGTCCACGCCCTGTCCCAGACGGTGAACGTGCCTTCCAAGGGTCGCTGAGTCTTCCGCGAACTCATCCCAACCGCCACTGAGGGTTCGATGGTCCGCTGAATGCGAATCCGGCCAGTCCATTATTAATAATAAGGACAGCCTGGATTCAGTGACATAGGGCCGTATCCGATACTTGTTGAAAACTCGGAGGTGACGCCGTCGAGTCCCTTGCACCTTAGCGTCTCCGTACATCACCTGACCGAGGGTTCGTCGCTTGAACAACTTGGGCGGTGTCACGTCTTTGTCGACGGGTGATAATCCGCAACTTCGGAGAGATCACTACACCACATGGTGCAATGTTGTGCAATCATATTCATCACTGGCCCGAACACTATTGTACAGAACGCATCCGTCTCTGCTTTTTTCTTCAACCGTAGTGCTGTCATTGCTGCTTGCTGCGTAGTGCTTGGATAATTTTAAGAAATGGCATTTAATAGATTGCTGTACAAACTCGTCTTCAACATATACTTCACTCTGATTGGCTCACTCTCTACCGGTAAACCTAGCCTCCTTAAGCACATCTGGACCTTTTTCTGTTCTTTGATGCATGCACCCCGCGCGAGCTTCAGCCAATCACAGGCCTCACATTGGCCGCATGCGGGTTGGGAATGGGCCTATATGGGTTTGTCAACTTGATCGACTACCTAATTTCATTGGTCAAAATTGTTCTCACAAAATAATTAACCCACGAAACTATGGTAGCTGATGGATGACACAAGTCTGCAATCTGCTGATTTTGCGGCGCCGCGATGTCCCGCCAGCCGGTACTCGCCAGCAGTGCCTTCTCCGATTTCTCGGACGAGCTGATCGTGTACTTCACGTTGCTCTGCGAGCTGACAGATTTGCTGCGTCTCTCTGAAGTAAATTCCGGTACGTCATTCAGTCGTCGCTTTGCTGGCTCCTGCTCTTCTAACCTACCGTGCACTGCAGTATTCTATGTGTTCTGTCAAGAAGATCCACTCTGGATGGGCCAATGTTTGCGTCTACACAATGGGGACTTCTCCTTCCACCACAACTGGAAGCTAACGACCTTCTACCCGAGAGACCCGAGGCCACTAGAGCAGCTGCATAAGGTCTTCCGCCCATTGGCCGTGAGAGGATTCAGCTCGGACTTTCTGTACCGTCGCTGGTGTCGCTGCAATATGCAGCTAGGTGACGGCTATATGCTGCCCAGTGAGGAGCAGGAACCGACCGTTCGGAGGCTGCAGAAGATTGACATCCAGGACTTGACCTTCCGAGATTTTTACGAGTAATTAATACGCGATAGGACTATATTACAGCAGTGACTAGCTGGATACTGACTTTATTTCACGGTATTAGGCAATACTCGAGAGTGCCGTTCATTCTTTGCAACGCTATTAGCAACTGGAAGGCGTCAACGGAGGTGAGAAGAGGAACGTTCTAAAGTTTTTTTTTTAGCTGTCTGACGAGTTTATTGTAGTGGACAGTGGAGAAGTTGGTGGAGAAATTCCCAAGTGACGTAAAGCACCGCATCACACACAACTTGGACGTCATATCTAGCAGTCCGACGATGGAAATGAGTTTTGCCGACTTTTTTCAGTATGCAAGCTACCAGCACGATGAGACGCCGTTGTACATATTTGATGCTCGTTTTGGGGAGAAGATGCCTGCTATGCTGGAGGATTACAATGTCCAAGACTTGAAGGTGTTTAAGGAAGACTTTTTAAGCGTAATGACTAGCCCAGAGGAAGACGGGAAGGTCGAGTCAACCAAAGCTGTGAAACTCGAGGCTGGAGGTAAAAAAGTGAGGAACGATAAGAAGAAGAATCGCGCTCCAGGGTCTATCCGACCAGACTTCCGTTGGATCGTCATTGGGCCTCAACGCACTGGGGCCCCCTGGCATCAAGATCCTGCCAGAACATCAGCGTGGAATTCATTAGTCAAGGGGCGGAAGAGATGGGCGATTTACCCTCCTGACTCGCCACCCCCAGGTGTCAATGTCGGCAAGAACGGCGAGCATCAAAGTAGTGGCTTGGACATGCCTTCTCTCATGTGGTACCTGCACGTGTACCCCACTCTCTCTACTGACCAAAAGCCGCTTGAGATCATCCAAGAAGAAGGAGACACAATCTACGTCCCCAATGGCTGGTGGCATCTCGTGTTGAACTTGGATCTCACGATCGCAGTGACCCAGAACTTCGTGGATTCCCACAATGTGCTCATGTTTATGAAGGATTTACTCAACGACGGACAAGACATGGCGCTAGCGATGCTCCAGCACGAACTAAAAGCCACTCGACCGGAAACCTTTGACATGTTCCGGCTGGTTCAGATCCCCCGATTGAATGGATACTTGAGCGAGGAGATGTTCCAGCAATCATTCCGCGTCTTGGAGTACTGGAAGCCTCAACTGAAGAAGGTTCTCAAGCGTCACAAGGTGCTGGCTCTGCCAAATAGCACAGAAGACACTGCTAAAACGAAGAACGTCGTCACTAAAGTCAAGTATCCAAAGATGAAGAGTCTTACGTCGCGTGCAAACCCGACATTTGCAGTTGGAAAGCGCTTGATCGTCAAGTTCTTCAGCCAGTACAACGAGAACTGGGGCGAGTTTGATTTTGAGGCATTCATGGCTCCAAACTACGAATCGATCGACAGCGAGCTTGCAACTCCATCAAAGCGTCGCAGGAACAACGTATTGCAGCCACACGAGCTGAAATATACCATGTCTCTACGATATGCGATGGAGGACTGCTTCCGTACTGAGAGGGCTGTGTATCGGATGATGGGCAAGTTATTAGACTCCGAGCAGTCGCTCGACGCGATGGTTCCTCGTCTGTACCGCTCTGGACATTTGTTGTATGTGGACGAAGTGGACGACGACGAGGGAGAAGGACCAATGTGGCGATGGCCGTACGTTGTCGTCGAGTACAAGAGCAGCGGTGTTGGGCTCGACTCGATGACGAAGAAAGGAGGAATCACGCCTCAGAGCTGGAAAAATGTGGCTGGATGGATCAGTCGGGAGTTCTTGCCGAAGCTGCACGCTGTTCCAATTGATCCAGAGTTTCGAGGAGTATACGGGCACACCAAGGCGGAATGGGATTGGTATATCCACTACTTGCTTCGTCAACGAAAGCGTTCAGTGTCATGTAAGCTGAAGACTTTACTGTATACATACTGTCTGTGGAAGTGCTGGGACTTATTAGTTTGTTGATGCTTTGCAGTCCACCTGATGGAGAGCGACCTCCCTGCTCACCTGATGAAGCAGCTAGAGAGTTTCCTCCCCACTGCAAACCGAGATGCCATTATGTCGGAGTTGCTACCAGTAAAGCCATTTGAGTTGAAGCCTGTGTTGCTTCATGGGGACCTGACAGACGAAAACATCCTCGGCTCCGAGGTGGATGCACAGCCAGACGTGGCGATGTCAAGCGTAGCGAGTGACTGGGATCTGTCGTCTTTCCTGGAGTCTATCAGTTGTGAGAAGTACATCCCGTTGCTTGTGGAGCAAGAGGAGCTGACGTTCGAGTCGCTAAGTTTTCTGAACGAAGCGCATCTAAAGGATCTGGGCGTCCCTTTGGGACCTCGTCTAGCTATTTTGAAGGGCAAGCTGCCGATCTCCACTCATGCGTGTGTTGTTGATAGTGAAGATGGACTGACTGATGGTCGCTTTGATACCGAGATGGAGTGCGAGGCGAGCAGCAGCGGTAGCAGCAGTTCGGAAGAAGACGAAGAGTTTGACCTGACAACACTCGCGGGACTGTCGGCTATCGGAGAGAAGCGGAAGGAGCGATTTGTCGGCCCCCACGAATGGATTCCGACGTCTGTGATCGACTTTGCAGACGCCAAAGCGGGTGACCCTCTGTATGACCTCGTCGCCGTCTTCTTTTCTGCTCTGGTAAGTGAAATCCTTGTGGTGTCTTCTGAGACTCCAGTTACTTGACTGCATTGTTGCTTATCCAGCACTGTGATCACGAGCTGTGGAGGGAGACAGTGGCTTCAGAATATTGGCAAGACTACATTCGTCGTGACGAGGAGAGCAGCGCACCGCAGCGTCGTTGTCTGCGAGAGCGCTTCCTGCAGCTAGTGCTTCTGCATCCAAGCCGATCGATCAAGGGTCTGTTCCATTATTCCCCTCTGGTAGCGAAATTTGGGACCTGGGAGGACCTGGCTGGTGGCATTTTCAACGATGTGTTTTAGGCCTGAACTTGGCATTTGTGCAGCTCGACTATTGAAGCAAATACAGTTGTGGGCCCGCGCTGTGCTGATCTGTGGGAATTGTGTGTCAGTTCCAAGTCGGGGAAGAGGTAAGCTTTGATAGACGAGCTAGTATCGGATAGTTGTATACGTAAAACGCTGCTCGTCTCCGTTCTGCTGTCGATGGCTCAATGTGAAAGCACAACAGCAGCAACGGACAAGTTAATGATTAAGTGCTACATGTATGAGGGGATGTGAAACGCTGCAGGCAATTCGCCTTCTAAGGATCTAATACGTCGGCTGCACCTGCTTCACTTCCTCAAGCAACTCGTCGTAGGCTTCCTGGGCGTTAAAGCCCGCCTTGTTGGGCGTGATCAATATGACGCTCGTGGGCCGCTTGGACAGTGCCGACGCGCCCAAGTCCACCTATAAATGTAAATCCAATTGCAACGAACTATTAGATCCAGCCTCTGCATCAGTATCATGTAAGTTGACGCACCTTAGAGGGAGTGAAGATGTAAGGAATATCGTTCTCCTCGCAAAGAACGGGGATGTGCGAGATGACGTCGACGGGCGAAATGTCGCCGGCAATAACGCAAACGCCCTTCTCACCCTTACGAATACCCTTGACCACCTCTTTAACGCCACGCTTAATGCCCTTGACCTTGGTGGCCTTCTTGACCACCTTGTAGGCGCGCTTGGTCTGCTTCTTGGTGGCGAGCGGCTTGGCGATCACCGACACGTGCTTTACGCGCTCCTCGTAATTGCTGCTGCTGCTCTTCTTGCTGTTCTCCGTGTCGCTCATCGCTGTCGGGTCGGGAGCTCAAACGAGGAGGTGGTGACGTTCAAGCTCAAGAAATTTGCTGCCGTATTATAGCTTTTCGTCGGAGCCAACCGTCGTGAGTGTTGCTCTAAGTTGATTCTACCTTCGGTACACCTGATGAAATGTGAAAAATTCCCGATATTAACCAATCACAGGCGTTGAAGATGCCATCGATTTATGACCGCTGGTGTGGTGGGGGCAAAACCCACGGAACAGAGACTTTATAGCAGCAATGGGTTTCACGGGCATTGCCGTCGGCACCCTCATGGGCCTCTCCACCAAGCTCGGCAGTAATGTGCTGCAGAAGGTCCCGTATATGCGCCGTACGTTTGTATACTCTCAATCGCGTTTTAGCGAAGATGCTAAACTAATATCACATGACGCCGCATTGCTCTCCTCGGTCGAACTCACCTCGGTCGTGTTATCTTTGCGTAGATCCGTGGGAGCACGTGCTATTCATGGGCATAGGTGCTGGTCTCGGCGGCTATCTTCAGAACAAGTACCACCGGGACCTGGAGGAAGTGGAGGAGCTGCGACTTTATCTGGAGCGCCGCCAGGACGTGAACAAGAAGGCGTAAGGCGTTGTGGATTATCATCAGCAGAGAATTGGCCAGGAGATAATGCAGATGAGAGATGTATTGCGGAACGTAGGCAGCTCCATTCATGGCATGGGTGTTTTAAGTGCAAGCATCGAAACCTGAAAAATAAAGAAGAAAATGCCTAGTTTGCCCTTGTGTGCTGGTCTCCTGCTAATTACAAGCTTGTGTGTGCTATGGTTTTCACAGAGAGCGTTGTTACTCTGAACTCGAAAGGACGCGATCCTTGGAACATTTTCAATGCGATCCCAAATCCAGCGAGTTAAAGTTTAAGACGCAGCAGGATGGAACTCGCGTATTTGTACACGAAGCAACGAGAGAGCTTCGGACACTACTGCGACTTCCGCAACGTAGACGCCAAGGTGCTTGAGAGCATTCCGTGCACTGATACACTGGAGAATGACTACGTACGACGAAGACCCATGGTAACCCGTCTGGATACGACGCCCCACATGTCCGAGCACGAAGTAAATACGGAGAGATTGGTGACTAAGCATAGTAGTATGCGGCATGTGGAGGGTGGCTGGCCCAAGGATGTGGATCCAGCCGAGCAGAGCGACGTACAGCGATTCCGCAAGAAAGCGGAGAAAGACGACGACTACAGACAAGCAGTCAAGAGTCTCGGACCAGTGGTAGACCGCGCACTCAAGCAGAACAATACAATTAACATTTACCAGGACTACTTTGCACACATGGGTGAGGCTGCCACGACAGAACAGCCCAGTGCAAAGGGGCTTGCCGTCTTTCGTGACCCCGAGCCGGGTCAAACGGCACAGTCTTCGCAGATCGACTGGCATCCCCGAGAGGCCGCAAGAAAAAGGCCAGCGTGCTTCCTGCATCCTCAACTTTCCAAGATCCGAAGTTTGCATCGGCGCGACCTCCAGCCCAATTTTTTACATCTGGGATGTTCTAAACCCGAATACACCGGAGACGACTTTGAAACCAGCTTCCCCGCTAGTTTGCATGCGCTACAACCCCAAGTCCGTCGACCAGCTCGTGGCTGGATCTTATAACGGGCTCATTTCGTTCTTCGATCTTCGTAAATCTGGCGCCGCTCCAGCGGAGACGTCAATTATCGAGCACTCACACCACGACCCCGTCTACGACGTTTTCTGGATATCCAGCAAGACTGGAAACCAGTGTTGCTCTGTCTCGACTGACGGCTGGATGCTCTGGTGGGATATTCGTCACCTTGCGCAACCTACGCAAAAGCTGCTTCTCACAGACAAGGATGGTCTGGCATTCGGTGGGTCGTCCATGGAGTACAACACAGAAGCTGGCCCGACCAAATACCTCGTTGGTACGGAGCAAGGGGCGGTTTTAAGTGTAAACTTAAGAAATGCCAAGCAGAATAATGGCATTACGATGTATGACCTGGCTGCTGGAAAACACAATGGGGCTGTGTGTGCGATTCAACGCAATCCGACGCATAACAAGTTTTTCCTTACCATCGGCGACTGGACTGCTCGTCTGTGGTGCGAGGATCTTAAAACCCCCATCATGAGCACCATCTACCACGATTCGTACGTGACTGCGGGCTGTTGGTCGCCTACACGCGCTGGCGTTTTCTTCGTCACTCGAATGGACGGCGTCGTGGACATCTGGGACTTCTTCTACCGTCAAAACGAGGTAGCGTACTCACACAAGGTCGGAGACGTCGCTCTCTCGTCCGTCAGTGTGCAGGGTAACGCGGGATTCGGTGGCAAGCTCGTAGCTGTGGGGGACTGCAACGGCATGATCTCACTCATGGAGCTGTCGGACGGCCTAGCTGTATCCCAACCCAATGAGAAGGCGGCTATCAACGGTATGTTTGAGCGTGAGACGAAAAGAGAGAAGAACCTGGAGGCGAAGGAGAAGGAGCTGCGCCGTAAGAAGGCTACGATGGAGGAGGGAGCGGCAGACGATCGCGGTGGCAGCCTTAAGGACGACAAGATGGAGGAGCTGCTGCGTACAGTGGACGCCAATTTCCTGGGCATGATCAAGGAGGCGGAGGACTCGGAAAACAAGAACATGGAACACAAGGGCGGCGACGGACTCGGAGGCAAGGATGAAGACAACTAGCAATAGCAAGCCGTAGTGATCTTCCTGAACTTGCAAGTTGAAGTACATGTAGGAGTGATGGTCACATGGTTTCCCTTCCGCATTCGCATTACTTTGCATTTGGCCTCATTATCGACAAGTGCAACGGAAGATAATGGCCAAGGGGAAGCAGCACGAGATGCCTCCGATCCGCGTGAGTCGTGGTGTGCGGATAGACATAAGGTTTGTGGGAACGTAATTAGGCATTTGTGATGCAGGAGAGCGACGACGGGTTACTATCGAGCGGAGACGGTGTGGCGACTGAAGGCGAGGAGGAAGAGGAGGAGTTTACCGCTCGCAGCTCCGTAACAAAGGACGAGGAAGAACACGAGACGTCCCACTCGGTCACGGACGAGCAGCTGACGCCTTACGTTACCAAGTGCTACGGGCATCTAGAGACGCTGAGGAAGCGAAAACGCGAGCAAGAAGAGCAAGTGGAGATGCTTGTCGAAGGTGAAAAGATGTTGGAGCTGCATAGCCAGAGTATAGCTAACTCGTTGTCTGTCGTTAAAGAAACCTTTGGACAGATCGAAGCTATCATGCAGGAGATGATGCGAGGGCTGCAGGAGCGCCATGCTGCGTCACATGCTCAGTTTGAAGCCACCGAAGGGAAACTCACGCGGAGTCTACGCGCGCACAATCGGGTACGTACAGCTTCAGTTGCGGTCATTAGTGCTCGTATTGACAATACAGGATGTACAGATTGAAAAGAAACTCAAGATGATTGCGGCGATTCTGCTGCGCGAGGACGATGGCGAGCAAGACGTCGAGTAGAACGAATTCCGAAATATCATATTAGCTTTGGCCTCATGGCTTTACATCCAATCGAAATATCACATTAACTCAAACCGGAAGTGGACGGACGAGGAGATGACAATCGCCGCGATCGATGCGGCCAGTGCCTCGGACGTAGACGCGCAAATAGGAGAAGAAAATTGCAGAGCAGGTGGAGCTGATCAAGCAGCCGTCACTACATGGGACGATAGCGTGGACCGAGGTTCATCAGAAACGGATGGAGCCGATGCAGGACTGGACGATGGCGGCACAGACGTTCCGATGGCAGATGACGGGAAGGCTCCAAGTCGTGCCGGGGATGCTGACGATGATCTGAATGGCGCTAACCCAATTGTCAAGGGCCTGTTGCCAACAACAAAGACACTTGACCGCCATATCAAGATCCTGATCCACACTACCGATCACAAGCTGTACTTTGGCCAGTGGAAGCGTAAGCTGAACCACAAGAGTACGGTGAAGCGCCTGCGCACGTCGTTCGAGGAGTTGTTGCCGAGAGTAAGCCCCGATGTCGGGCACTTCTGATGGTCGATGAGGGCTAAGATAACCGATTTATCTCGCTTCTGTTTCCAGTTGATGGGCGCTCGAGACTATGGAGGTGCTGCAAAAGTACTGGAGGTGATGTATCACCGCTTTACGGTAACTCCGGCGTTGTGCATTGAGGTAAGCTTGCGTTATGCATGTATGCAAACTGACCTACTTAAGTAATTGACCTTACAGGCGTACTGCTTGTTCTTTAGGCAAGTCTTGAGATTTTACGTCGACAACCAGACTACCGTAATGGTCTGCTGAGCTTCTACGAGGCTGCATTGAATGTTGAGCGTATCGATGTAAGGAACCTACTGCGTTTTCCCCCTCACTGTATTGTTACCCAAACTGCTGTTGTCTATGCAGAAAGTATTGATTCTAAAGGAGCTGTGGCTCTTTCACATCGTTCACGGAGAGTTTTATGAAGCTTTTCATTTGTACCAAGACAAAATTGAGCAAGTAAGTTGCTATTGTTTTGCTCTTTTTCTTTTTTTTAAATTCTCAAAGCAGGGTACTTTTTGGTATTAGCTGGAGGAAGTTGAGAATGACGCGAGTTTACTTGCAAATTTCGGAATTTTGTGCTACTGGCTCATGTTTATTGAGTCAAAAGAGCTCCGTGATATGCTAAAGCATGAAGATGTGGACTACGCGGACGACGAAGACGAAGAGGCAGAGTTGAATGGCAGTGAGGCTTACGCAAGTGAGAACCTCGAGTCGGTGATCGAGTCAAATTACTTGTTTAAGACGCCCATTGGAGTCCACATCCTGTATCAGCACGCGAGCAATGCATTGAGACGTGCAGTGGCGTTGAGTCCGAACACGGCTATGTTTGTCGAGTATTATGTTCAGCTCCTAGTTCTTGTGGGGGACATTCAGCCAGCATGCGATCATTTAGAGGTTTTCTATCACATGAATCCTGAAGATCCGCATGGGCCAAGAATGGTACGATGACTCTACAGGTCGAATCTGTTATACCCCCAACTTGGTAGATCAGCTCACGCTGTTTCCCCCAGCTTGCACGGTTCTTAGGGTGCTACTATCCGGATTCGGTGGATGCTCAGGTCGCTGTGTTCACCAGGTAATTGTAGGATATAGGGCACGAATTATTATTTTGCTGCTAACAGTGCACAATTTTACTTGTAGATGGATGAAGGACGATCCTACTTGTGGCTATCCTTTGGAAAAGATGCTGGAATTGTCTAGCGCTGGCGTAGTGTCATCCTTCGTGCTCACAACTGTCCTAGTTGAAGCGCTTGACACCTGCGGCAGTGATATATACGTCGCTCAGACCCCGAACGTGTCTTTGGCTTTGTGGAGGAATCTGGCCGAGCTGCTGACAGCAATGGACGAGGGTGAATTTTTACTCGACGGAAGAGCGACTGATCCGTCGAATCAAGTGACACTTGCAGATGTGGGCTCACACCACTTGTGGTGGAAACGCGTTTATTTCGCCAGACCAAGCACAGCGCAGGAAGTCGTAGCAATGTCCAGACAGGATGGTGCGTTCATGGAGGTAGCTATTTACCGCGCTGCTGTAGCAGATCGGCTTTTCCCTGGCCTTCTCCCATTGACAGAGGCTCTGCGCTCTGCAATGACATCACTCAACGTGAGATTTAGTCGCGAACATGTTCGTCTGTTTGAAAGGTAAGGGCGACTGCGGATTGTTGCATGAAAATGAACTCACATTCTTCGTCCTTGAGCAGTTTTTTTCCATCTGCCTATAGAATGACAGCAAGCACGGCGGACCACACACGGCTTCATACAGTGTCGTTTACCCATGTGGTTGTTGAGGAGGAAAACAATCAGGAGAATCGGCCTCTGCCAGTTTTTAAAGGGAGCTCCGACACTGTGCACGTGATCGACCGAAAGTCAATTGTGAAAAAAGAGACTGCTGGCGAGAAGACAGAGGTAGAAGTAAATCGAGAATGCAACACTGACGATGTTGATGCGCAGTTTGTGGAAGAACTCTACGAAGTTCTGGAACTGGAAGTTGAATGCTCAAGTGCCCATGGCACACAGTCCACAAGAAAGCGCAAGGCTGATGCCATCTCTACTTCAAATCCTATACTCATGCCGGCGTTCATTGGAATGGTCGAGGAAGAGGTCTTTAATAACCCAGATGCATCTCTGCCTCACATCTACTCGACGATATACCAGAAACTGCGTCGCACGGATATGCTGGTGCCTACATCAAAAGTCGTGGCGCTCTGCGTGGATTTCTTTCGAAGACGATTGAAGAGCGGAGGCATGTTGATACGATACGAAGAATTCGTCCTTTCATTTATGCGTCGTCAAAGAGACAAGGCTACATTCGAGACCACAACGGACGTTGCAAAGAGAGCAATTGGGGAGATGATACGTGTGTGGCCCAACCCACCTCCGTATTTTCCGGATGAAAAGCTTGTCCAAGAGATAATGCGCCGTAAAGTACCGACGTTGTCACGGGAACGGAGACTTCAGCTGATGGAGCTCAAGAAAACACTTCAGCCTGTCCTCAGGGAGCTCAAGTACGTCAAGGAAAAAGAGTTTGCGGCTGTGGTATATTCAGTCTGCAAGCAGAATGGACGACTGGGTGTGTTGAACCAGTTCGACATTGCGCATGCAGTGCAGATGATGCTACCGATGCATTACGTCCGAGAGCTTCAGAGGGTGCCATCTTACTTACTGGACATCATCACTTCACCTACATTCCGGATGGGCTGCAACACTGTGGAAGAGATCCTTGAAAAGCTGAAGACGAAAAAAGTGAAAAAGTCGCCGGTTGAAGAGGTCAAAACGCTCTTGTGGGTGGAGAAGTATGAGGCTCTCTGTGGCCCCATCACCGGTGGCGAGAATGAAAGTGGCAGTGGCAATGCTACTGATAGCGATAGTGACAGCCGTGTCAGCGACGAGGAGACTGAAGGTGGCAACGACAGTAACTAGACCACTGCCAACAGCAGGAGCAATCATTAACCAGTAGTATTACTGTGGGATCTTTACAGTCTTTTTCGTCACTGTGGATTTCTGTTTGAACATCTCTCCACGCCGCCGTAAATTCTGATGAGCTGCGCACCACTGCGTGTCAAGACCAGCCGACTGTATATGCTCGGTGGAAACATCAACAGCAAATTCTGCTTTGAGGGCGTAGAGCGCCGACTGTCGGGCCTCAGCATTGCCATGGTGCAATGTGCGCGTCAGGAGTCGCTGAATCCGGTAGCAGCAACTGCGACAGCGCTGAAAGGCGCACCGACTTTCACGCTGAATCGTTGAAGAGCATTGCGGAGTTTCGCAAACAAGGTGAAGACAGCTTGCGGAGTCGGAGACTGTGACATCGTCGCCAACTGTAAAATGACTGTCGGCATGTGGACGATTCGCGGACCAAATCACGCGTGGAGCTTCTCCGTGGAGATGGTTCGCCAGTGCCATCTTGGTTTGGTGACGTGCCTTCCGTCGAAACTTGTCGTCGCTGTCCGAGTCGTCGTAGTCGGTTGCGATGGTTACGGTTTTATTTATGCTTAAAATGTTGTGTAGTGCAGGAGTGACGAACTGTTCCAAGCTGCCTCGATCACGGAGAGGAACTCGCAACGATCCAGCATAATCCAGGTTACCAAGCCGCTGAACGAGGGAGGGCTTGAATAAACGCACTAGCCATTGTGGCAATGTAATGGAAAACATCATCCATCTGACAACCGGAAGAGCAAATTCCTGGAGGTGAAGAAGCCAGCTTATCAACCCACCCGCCTTAATGCTACGCTGATTGGCGTCTTCAGCTTTGAGGAACGATACCTGGCTTCCCTTGTCTGTTGCAATAGCCCAACTGCCGGTTTTAGAGGCGCTAAGCTCCTTGCCAGCGACTGCGAAGTCGTATTCATTCTTGAGTTCAAACGCCACATGATATAGCGAAGAGAAAAAAGTGTGCGCTGGTTGGTTGCGCTCCGTTGGCTCCCAGACAAACTTCATCGCTATTGCACCACTTCTTGCTGCGACTTCACTCAGTTTTCGCATCATAGCATGCTCCACTCCTCGGTTTAATGCGCGACAGCTGAGCAGAAAGCTGTCGACACGCAACACATTGGCATCGTGTACATGTTGACAAAGAGCCACAGTCACGAGACCGTAATGACCGAAACGGTCCGTCACGTGAGCGCAGATCACTGTGTGATCTGGAGCGACGATATAATCCAGCAACTCTCCTTCCTCCAAGCGCTTAGCGAATGACGTTGCCGTGTTAAACTGATTTGTGCGATGGTGAAGCTGCATCACTCGAGTGTACGAGGGGCTCCTCTCTTGAACTTCTTGGTCGCGATCGAGTTCTTCAAAGACAATTTTCACTTTGAGAGCACTTAAGAAAGCTCTGTGTGTTGAGGAAGACTCACGAAGTTGTTGGCGATGGAGATTCTGCTGATAAAGCTGCGTCCGCTGGTTATCTTCCTTCGTGTTGGTGCCTGCACATCCACTTGAGTTTATGCCCAAACCATCATCAAAAACCCATTCGTGGACTAGTACTGACTCGGGAAAATGCTCTGCGAGTGGGATGACTGTCACGGAAGGCAGCGCAGTGGCAACTTGGTTGCATTCCAGAGGATTGTCGTCGATGAAAATGACTGAATCCAGCCCTGTACCTCAGCATTAGCTACGTAAAGTACCTGTTTGAACCCGATAAAGAAAAAAAACACTTTTTTACGTACCTAGAGAGAGCTCCTTGGCGAGTTGCGCGATATTCTCCGACTTCGGTTGCCAGTTAACCTTAGTGGCTATCACGTGTTTGTCCAAGTCCAGGACCATATCCTGACGACGTAGTTTAAAAGCCTCCGTCACGTCCTCGAGAATGTTCTTACTGCAAAGAGCAAGCAGCATACCTCGTTGCTGCTGGGCAACAACGAAACGCTGGAGTGAGAGAAATCTGGGACCAAGATCGATCCCACTGGGTCCCACTTCAGCTACTGCACCACCCCACAGAGTGTTGTCGCAATCGAGAACGATAACTTTCTTTCGACCGCTTGCACTTCGATAGAGACGACAAATTTGTCTACATAGTGACAAACTCATTACATTCAGCATGGCTTGCGTGTACGGAGAGTGTTGACGCTTGTCGGCAATCGAATCATAGAAGGTAGTCGTGTACTGCTGTTCGAAAAGGGAAAGTAGCTGTCCTGACGACTGCACACTCACGTTTTGCATGGTCTCGATCTTGTGTTGCATCGTGCGTTCCATCGCATCAACACGAGCAGCGGTAGCTGAAGTCGGCGAAGACGGACACAGCAATACTACCAATGGATCAGTAGCCTCCGCACTGTACCGCTCAAGACCACTCAGGAAGTGGCAGATAGAGTCATCGACGACGTCATCGCTGTGCTTGGAGAAATGGAATTCAGGATGCGCTGCTGCGAGGTCACTAAGCCGAACGAGCAAGAGCACCAGGTCTACTACTGGGCATGCAGGATCAAGCACGTCGCTCGACCAGTCTCCAAAGTCTGTAACGCTGCCATACCGCAACCACTGCAAGTCGACGTCGGCTTTCCAGACCGCCTAAATATATATATGGAGTTATTAGTAATAATTAGCAATACTTGACTGGCTGGTAATTAGCACCAGCGCCGGCTCCAAGGAAATCCTCGCAGTTTACATCAAGTTTGCACCAACATTATTTAGAAGATACTGCAGCGGAATGGCGAGGGCTTCGTCACATGCGAAGGTGCCACCGATCGCCACACGCTTGCAGGCCATTGCTCACTTGACTAAAATTCAACGAACACTCGTAGTTTTATCATCAATTCAATTAAGTACGAACTAGGGATCCTCAATCCTCGGGTTCGCGCTCGTACTTGGACGGGTTGATGCGATACCTACCGGAAACAAAAGCAGCAAACGAGCAGCACATGAGTACGAAGAAATAATATGCAACGGAGAGGGCATTCTTGCCACGTACATGTTGCCGTATTGGATCGTCGGTGTGTGCTCGCTGTCCACGTCCACGATACACACGGCCATCGCTGTAGCAAAATGCAGCACAATGCTGTTAAACCACCCGAAAATAATGCAATAGCCAGCAGTCACTACTATCTACTCACTGTTGGCGTCGAGTACGCGATATGTGATGGTAACCATGGACTCCTGTAGACAAAAGTTGAGAATGGCCACGTTGGCCTCAAGCTTGAACACACCATGGCACGTCACGCCCTCGAAGCTCCACTCCATAAATGTTCCTTGCTCATCCGGAATAAACTGCATCCCTCAACGGGCAACGCGTGAGTTATACCATCATCATCAACAGGTGGAGGATTGATCAGCGAACCTGCACTGTGTAGGCACTGGAGAGATCCTGCTGCTTAAGCGTGCGACCGAAAGACCAGCGGAGGAATCTGGCGGCATATGCACACAACAAATAATGTCAGAAATGTTAAATGACGCGTAGAGAGAATTAAATTAAAAAAAAGCTGCGCACTGAGTGTTAGGCTGGCCGGCGGCGTCCAGGTCCTCCTCGATGAATACAATGTTGTTGGTGGAGCGCAAATGCTTGAAACTGGCACCGAAGCGGCGCCACTCCAGGTTGCGCTTCCAAAATCCCTTCAGGTATGCACAGAAGTCCCCATTTGGGACGTCGTAGCGCACCACATTGTCCGGTGCCGCACTAACGCTGGCCATCCTATAAATTATCGGTTTTTTTGACATGTGGTCCACGTGGATATGATGTATGAGAGCTACATAAGCTTAGGCTATAAATTAAATTCGGGAGACTCCTCCCGAATTCAACTTGACTTCGAGAACCAAAAGGTTTGGCTTTTCGCATATTTTTTTTCGCAAAATCTCGAGTCCATGTTTCTCTCAGTATGCTTTTCGAAGGTTTTTACCATGATTGGTCATGTTTGTAAAATAAAATATATTTCGATTTTTAAATTACTGATTTGTGTTTGTGACCACTCAACTTTCTGCCGTGCGTGGTGAGAAGCTCGCCGCTCCCCTTCGGCTCTCTCAAGGCAACTAAGCTCACTGACCAGCCCGCGACAGTTTGGATACGCTCTCCTCCTTCTCCCCCACAGTGTGGCTACCGGTACGTACGCTGTTCGGATTCTCCAAGGCTTATATTGCATGTGTGGTGAAGTGTAACGGGGTACGTATCCCTACGTGTACCCTGGCTACATGAAGTGTGACACTTCACACTTCAGGAGTATGACACGTCATACTCCGGGATATTTGGTACAAGGTACCAAGGTCGTTCAAAGCCAACCATTGGTTAAATGACATTGCATTTCTATAGGTAACTAATAGTTTGTATTAAACCCAAACTTAACCTACCTATAAATAAACTCAGTTTACAATCTACCTTATTTAGGTCACTTCGCTCTCTTTAACTAAAGAGGGGACCTGTGAACTGCCGTTCACTGAGAGTTTGTATACTCTCGGAAGATAACTTCCTCTAGCGCAAGGTGCTGTGTGACCCCGTCACACTTGGTAGCACTAGTAGTCAATCCACGCCACCGCGGGTAGACTACCTGAACCTCTCCGAAGTTCGTTGCCATGGATAGGAACGACTTCTCCCATTTGATGACTCTCAGTTCGAGTCGGTTCGGAAGATGGCAGGCATCTTCGGGATGGAGGCCCTGCAGAGCCTGGTGGTGTCAACACCGGCTGAGCAGCTCGAGCGCGTCAATGCATTTGACGCGTACGAGCAGGGCCTCATCGCGCATGTGCGGGAGAACCTGCAGGCTCCGGCGGCGGAAGCAAATCCGCCTCACCCGAAGCCAATACGGCTGAAGGTTAATCCGTATGAAGGGAAGGAAGGCGAGAACCTTCACTTCTGGGTCCGAGAAGTAGAGCTCGCGATGGACGCGGCTCTGATCTCGACCGAGCAACTGCGTGTTGCTTTTGCACTCTCCAACCTTAGCGGTCGTGCTAAGAGTTGGGTGTACACTCGGGAAGCAACATCCCCTGGATTTTTCACATCCTGGGCTCAGCTGTGCCAACAGCTCCGAGCCGCGTTCCTCCCGGCGAACTACGAGTACCGCCAGCGTTCGCGCTTCCTCGCGTGTAAACAAGGAAGGCGCGAACTGCACGAGTATGTGCAAGAGATACGGGAGCTCACGGCGTCCCTAGTGGGAAACCCACTCAACGAACACATCCAGATGACTGTGTTCATGGACGGCCTTCGAGTTGGCCCCGCACACACTCAGCTGTTCCGGGTGCAGTCAAGCACCCTGGAAGAGGCGATTCAAGTGGCTCTTCAAGAAGAGTACAGCCATCGCCAGGCGCGTATGCCGGCCTCAGCGTGGCCTGGGCGTTCCTTGTCGGCTCCCGGTCGAACAAGCCCCAACGGACCAGTTCCCATGGAACTCGGGTCCGCCGAACAGCGTGACATCCGCTGCTTCGGCTGTGGGAAGATGGGCCACTTCAAGCGCGACTGCCCGCGCAAAGACTCCGCAGACGGTCCTTCCCCAAGCCCGTCCTCAAGGGTCGCTGGCAAAAGCCAGGATCCCGGGGACAGGGGAACGCAGGGAACCAGTAGAGGCGGGGCGCCCTACTGGGGAAGAACTAAGTCTTCGTGATGGGTGCGCGGGTGGCGCGTACCACGGGGACTTAGCCCCCGAGAGTCTTCGCACTCTCGAATCGGCGAAGAGCAGCGGCGGGTTGCTCGTAGTACACGGATGTGTACGGGGATACTATCATCCCTTAATAATCTCGATTGACTCTGGGGCGTCGAAGAATTTCGCACGCCGCCAGACGGTTGCTCGTAACAGCAACAAGTTGTCCGATGCTTTGAGAGAAAGCAAGGGCAACGGGACGGTGTCAGTGCGACTGGCCGACGGGAAGGTCGTCACTGTCCCCAACGTCCAAGTGGATCTGGCTGTCAAGTTTGAAGACTTTGACAGCCTCGAACAGTTCACTGTTCTCGATATGGATCCATATGATATGATCCATGCCCTGGCTTGAGAAGCACGAGCCCTGGATCGACTGGCGAGGCAAGGCAATCGGTTCCAGCCGCCCTGCGCAGTCCGACAGAGCATTGATGAGTCATGTTCCCACCTCTGTCAGGACCCGGGGCGCCCGCGAGGGCTGCCAGGGTACCAAAGCATCCGGCAGATGCTTGGGAGTCGTCGACGTATATGACGACTCCGAGGATGTTTTGATGGTGGCCGCGCCCAGAAGAGGCGCCGGCCAAGTGGGTAACTTAGGTCCACAGGCGGGTAGCTTAGTTCCGCAGACAGCTGCAGCTGTCATGAACACTGAGAACAACGTGTTCAGAGTGGGTAACAGAGCTCCACTCACGGTCGCCCAGACCATAACTGAAGAGGAAGACGTCGGATACGCTTCCTGTGTGGGTAACACAGTACCACACGCGGTCGCCCAGACCTTAACTGAAGAGGAAGGCGTTGAACACGCTTTCTGTGTGGGTAACACAGTGCCACACGCGGTCGCCCAGACCTTAACTGAAGAGGAAGGCGTTGAACACGCTTCCTGTGTGGGTACAACAGTACCACACGAGGCCACGAGTGCCTCGGATGTCGTAGCAACGACATCCCTAGACGTGGGCAGCACAGCTCCCCGTCACAGACGCCGTCGGCAAAGACGCCGCCGCCGCCTCAAGTCGGATCCGAGCTTCGTTCCGATCGACGTCGCTTCAAGCGACTCGGAGTCCAGGGCCCGGGCTCCTCCGACAAGGCCGGTGGAAGAGTGTTATCACATCTTCGATGGCGAGACAGGTTTACCCGTCAAGGCATCTGGTGTCCACTTGGAACCGTTGCCAGAGGTTGCAGAGACACTGCACCTCGAGGAAATAACGGCTGAGTCTCTCCTGACCAACCTCAAGGCTGGAGAGATTGCTGAGATGGTACTCATGAGACATGAGACCACTCAGGAGGAACTGAACTCCTCCTCTGTCTTGGACGAGAACGTCCTGGAAGACATGAACAAGCAGCGTCAGACGCGCTTGGATTCTGAGATTCTCAAGAACCCCAAGGATCCGGTGTATCCTTTGGTGACGGAGTACGCGGACGTGGTGAGCAAACACCCACCGACCCAACTCCCACCGGATCGAGGCGTACGGCACGAGATTGATCTCGTGCCCGGCACAAAGTATTGTGTCACGAGGCAATGGCCTCTCCCGCGCGAACAGTGCGAGGTCATTGATGCCTTCTTCGCCGCAAAAGCGAAGGCAGGCATGGTGCGGGAGTCGAAATCCCCGCACTCGACGCCGACTTTCTGCGTTCGTAAGCCGAACGGAAAGTGGCGTCTGGCTCGCGCTTATAACAAGATGAACAACGCAACGGTGCCGGCCCAAACACCGATCCCACGAAAGGATGTGTTGTTGAACAACATGGCCGGGAGCGTACTGTACAGTGCGCTGGATTTGGTAGACGGATACTACCAAATCCTGATGCGAGAGAGTGACATCGCGCTCACCGCGGTAAGCACTCCAAGCGGCATGCTTTGGAAGTGGCTCGTCATGCCGCAGGGCTTGTCTAACGCCCGGCGACGTTCAATCGCCTGGTGACGCAATTGTTCCGCCCTTTGCGTACCTTCGTACAGACGTACTTCGACGACATTTTCGTCCATAGCCGTGCCGAGGGAGGCAAGACGGCCATGGAGGTGCATCTAGGACACCTCCGTCGAGTGTTGGACGTGATGCGAGCAAACAAGCTCTTCGCCAACATCGACAAGTGCGTTTTCGCGTCACCAGAGATCAAAGTTCTCGGTTGCTTCGTAAGCAACGTGGGCGTTCGGGCTGACCCAGACAAGGTCAAGGCCATAGCAGCATGGCCGACGCCCGATCCCAGAAGGATCTTCGGAAGTGGTTGGGCTTGGCCAACTACCTTCACAAGTTCAGCGCAGGGTACGCGGGCTTCGCCAAGCCCTTGTCGAGCCTCCTTCAGAAGGACGTCGACTGGCGCTGGGAGCAAGAGCACCAGGATGCTTTTGACAGCATCAAGGCCAGTCTCCAAGAGGCCCCTGTCCTGGCCCTGCCGGACGAGACGAAGCCGTTTAGCGTCGTCTGCGATGCCTCCGACTACGCCATCGGGTGTGCATTGCTGCAGGCCGACACGGCTGGTCATCTCGTTCCAGTCCAGGCAGCTCAAAGCCGCCGAGCGGAACTACCCTGTCCATGACAAGGAGCTCCTGGCAATGAAATATGCCCTTGTGAAGTTCCGTGTTCACCTTCTGGGCTCTAGGCCCTTTGTGATCTACACAGACCACGCGTCCTTGAGGACGGCGACTAACTCGCCTCACCTCTCCCAAAGAATGGCGAGGTGGCTGTCCTTCTTCGCGGAATACAGCTTCCGCGTCGAATACAAGCCGGGCAAGCTCAACGTGCTTGCGGACGCCCTCTCTCGGCGTCCCGACTATGAGTTGGCCCACATCACGCGGGTGACAACGGATCTATATGATCGGATACGCATGGCGTATCGGGACGATGAGGCTGTCGCGCCTATCGTCAAGTTCCTTAAGGCCGGAACGAGCGCGAAGTCCGACTGGCTCTCGTCGCAACAGCGCTCTCGGCTCCACCGATATGAGTTGAAGGAGGGCCTCCTCTATTACCGGGTGGAGCCCACTGATCCTCCACGGGTGGTCGTACCCAACGACGAGGATCTGAAGCTCGACATCCTCGCGGAGGCGCATGACGCGCCCTCCAGCGGCCACTTGGGCCGCGAGAAGACCTTTCTGT